CTAACAGAACTGAAAGAAAAAATAGACAAATCCACAGTCACGGTTAAAGATTTCAAAACTCCTTACTCAACAGCAAGTAGACAAAAAATCAGAAGATATAGAAGATTTAATAACTCTATAAACTACCTTAACTTAATTGATATTTATAGAGTATACACTCAGCAAATACTGAATACACATTTTTTCAAGTGATGGAACAGTCACCAAAATAGACCAAATGATACACCATAAAACAAGTCCCAACAGAGTTGAAAAAATTAAATTCTCACAGAGTATATTCTCTGACCATGAAATAATTAATTAGAAATAAACGTTTAGGGCTTCCCTGGTGGTGCAGTGGTTGAGAGTCCGCCTGCCAATGCAGGGGACACGGGTTCGATCCCTGGCCCGGGGAGGATCTCACATGCCACGGAGCAACTAAGCCTGTAGGACACAACTACTGAGCCTGCGCTCTGGAGCCCGTGAGCCACAGCTGTTGAGCCTGCATGCCACAACTACTGGAGCCCACGTGCCACAACTACTGACACCTGCACGCCTAGAGCCCGCGCTCCACAACATGAGAAGCCACCGCAATGAGAAGCCTGCACACCACAATGAGGAGTAGCTCCCACTAGCCGCAACTAGAGAAAAGCCCACGCATGGCAACAAAGACCCAATGCAGCCAAAAATAAAATAAATTAAAATAAAATAAATTTAAAAAAAAAAAAAAAAAGAAAGAAATAAACGTTTAGACAAACTCCAAATACCTGGATATTAAATGACTCACTTCTGAACAACACATGGATGAAAGAAGAAATCACAATGGAAATTTTAGAAAATATTCTGACTTAACTGAAAATAAAAATACAACATATCAAAATCTGTGTAACTGAAAATAAAAATACAACATAACAAAATCTGTGTCTAGCTAAAACAATGCAGAGTGGGAAATTTAGAGCTTTAAATGCTATTCTAAATAAGAAGAAAGTCTAAAACCAATGATCTAAGCACCTACATTATAAAACTAGAGAAAGAGTAAATTAAACACAAAGTAGAAAAATTAGATTTCATAAAAATTTTAAACTTTTATTGTTCAAAACACACTATAAAAAAATAAAGCAAGTCACAGAATAAGAGAAAATATTTGCACAAATATTTGACAAAGGACTTATATCCAGCATATGTATAAAGAACTCTTACAATGTAAGAATAAGAAGGCAACTCAATTTAAAACTGAGTAAAATACCTAAAAAGACAGTTAACAAAAGAAGGTACATGAATGGCCAGTACACACATAAACATATCCTCCACAGCATTAGTCATTAAAAAATACAAATTAAAAATATAAACAGACTAAAAACATCCAAAATACGGCAAGGACGAGAAAACAACTATGTGTTACTTATAACAGACACACACATAAGAACACAGAAAACTTGAAAATAAAAGAATGGAGTAAGATATGACAGGCAAGCACTAACCAAAAGAAAGCTGTCACAACAATACTAATAAAGGAAAAAGAGAACTTCAGGCAAGAAGCATTACTAGAGACAAAGAGGGATTACATATTGATAAAAGGATCAAGCTACCAGTAAACTCTAACAATCCTATATGAGTATGCTAAAAATAGTATTAAAATATTAAAAAGTAAAAATTAATAGGACTAAAAGGAAAAACAGAAAAATTCAGAATCACGAGAGACTAACCTCTCTTGGTAACTAGAAAAAAAAAAGCAGAGAAAACAATTCAGCAGGGATATAGATGATCTGAAACAACAGATTTAACAAACTTGGCAAAATGGACATACGTAGAACACTGCACCCACAATGGCAGAATCCACTTTCAAGTGCATACCATTTTAACAAACTTGGTAACATGCTGAGCCATAAAGCAAAACTGAACAAATTTTAAAGAATTCACCATTCAGTATATTCTCCCATCAGACTGTAATTAAGCTAGACATCAAAAACAAAAGGTAAATGTTTAGAAATCAAGGAATGTTTAGAAACTAAGGAAACCAACAAATGTTTAGAAACTAAGGAATATACTTCTAAACGACCCATGGGTCAAAGAAGAAATTACAATGAAAACAAGAATATATTTTAAACTGAAAAAAACAAAAACATATCAACACTTGCAATATGACGAGATATTCTGAAAAGAAAACGGCTAGGCATAAATGTATACATTAGAAAAGAAAATGACAAATCAATGACATAAAATCAATGACATAAGTATCTATCTAAAGAAGTTAGGAAGAACAGCAGATAAAGCTCAAAGCAGAAGGAAATAATAAAGATAACAACAGTAACTGAAACAATAGAAAACAAACATAGAATAGAGAAAATAAGCAAAGCCAAAACATCTTTTTGAAAAGATTAATGAACGTAATAAAATCTAGCAAAGAGACAAAGCATATATCACCAATACTAGGAACAAAGGGGACATTTTAAAACTATATCTGTAGAATGCAGGAATCCTTGAGACATTAAAGATATAAGAAGAGTATATCAAAACAACTTTATACCAATAATACTGAAAGTTTAAACAAAACCTAAGTTCCTAGAAAAACAAAACTTATGAAAACTGATATAAAAATCTGAATAGTTTTACATCTATTAAAGAGTAGTTCCACATCTATTGAATCCATAATTAAATACCCTTCCACAAAGAAATGTAGGCCCATATGGCTTTATCCAAACATTGAAAAAATAAATATCACTATTCTTACACAAACTCTTACAAAGAAGAAGGAACACTACCCAACGCATTTTATGAGATCAGCATAATGTTGATACCAAAACCTGACAAGACATTACAAGAAAATTCCAAGCCACTACCTCCTATGAACACAGAAACATTCTAAACTAAACATCAGCAGACCAACTCCAGCAATACATTAAAAGGTTAATATAATTGACAAAATTGGTTTATTTCAAAAATAAAAAATTGTCATTTTTTAAACAAGAAAAATTATTGTAATTTGCCACATTAACAGATTAAAGGAGAAAAACTATAAAATCATCAATAAGTGCAGAAAAGCCATTTGAAAAACTTAATATTCATAATTTTAAAAAATCTCTTAGCATATTAGAAATAGACGGGAAGCTCTTATCTGACAAAAGTCAGGTTTAAGAAAAGCTTACAACAAACATCAGAATTAATGGTGAAATACTGAATACTTTTCCACTAAGATCATGAAGAAACAAAGGTGTCCACCATCAACACTGTGCTGAAGTTTCTGGCCATTGCAATTAGGTAAAAAAAAAAAAGGAAGTATACAGAATGGAAAGGAAGCAATAAAGCTGTTATTATTCCCAGACAACATAACTATGTATATGTAAAAATCTAAAAGAATCTACACACTATTAGAATTAAGTGAATTTATTTAGCAAGGTTGCTGGATACAAAGTCAATGATAAAAACAAACTGTATTTCTATATATAGGCAAATTTGTTTTTTCAATGACATTGTTTATAACATCAAAAATGTCAAACACTAACCAATAAATCTAACAAAAGATGTATAAGTTCTACACACAAAAAAAAATTTCAAAGCATCACTGAAAGAAATTAAAGAACATCTAAATAAATGGACAAATATACCATCCATGGATTGGAAGACTCAATACTGTTGACACTAGTCAGCTGTCCCCATATTGATCTATATTTGATGCACACAATTCCCATCAAAATCCCAGGCATGTTTTTGTACAGGTATGTGATTTAACAAGCTGATTCTGAAATTTATATGAAAATGCAAAGGACCAAGAATAGCCAAGTCAATATTGCAGAACAACATTGGAGGACAGAAATCAAGACATCAAGATATCAGATATCGAGACTTATTACACAGCTACAATGACAATGTGGTATTGGCTCAAAGATAAATAACAGGCCAATGGAATACAACAGGGAGTCCAGAAACAGACTTACATATAGCCTCCCACATTAATGACAAAGAGACACTGAAGTATAGTGGAGAAAAGATAAACTCTTCAATAAATAGTGCTGAGTCTATTAGATAACCACATGAGAAAAAAATTATCTTGACCTCCTCCTTATACTTAACAAAACAATAAAACTTCTTGGAAATAAAACAGGAACAATTTACTGAAATAAGCAAAGATTTCTTAATCAGAACACAGAATGCACTTACCTAGAGGGAAAATTTCAGACTGTAGTACATTAAAATTAGGAAATTCTTGATAGAGCCAATCTGTGGCCCATCATTTGGGAACCTCTTAAGCTATGCAGTCTGATAATTCACTTAATTCTACTTATGTAACATTCAGAGAACACTGCTTTTGTGAATGACTAATATCTTGATTTATGAAATTAAATCCATAAAACTCACAATGAGAAATTCAGATAATAGTAATTTTCAATAGTTAGGACTTTTAATAACTACTGAAAACTCAACAAAGAATCAAATACAATTTGAATTTAATATGTGAAGTGGCACTGTTTTCATTCATTTTTAAAAATACAGTTTTACTTTTAATGCTAAATCCTACTAATAATATGCAGTTATCACAGGTGATTAAAAACAGTAGCCAGGCATGAAGTGCCCTGTTAGGTAGATATGAACAAAGCCAACGTAAACCAGAGTAAAGGCCCAGAGCTGCTCTCTGTGGCTAGCAAAAATAAGCCATCTGCTGCAACAAAAATAGTCTGAAAGATACAGAGTAATAAGCCTGCTCTTCTATCGTTTATTTAAATGGTGAAAATTCAGGTTGCTTAGCCAGGATTACAGCTACAGTAAGGTAAACCTTTCTCCAGGTGGGGAAAAACAGCTTCACATCATCTTACTTACTCAAAAAGCCTCCTTAGATCAGCAAACTAAGGGAAAGGAATAAAATAAAGATAGCAAAGAAGGCACAGACTTAAAAAGGTATTAATGAAAAATTATATATAGCCCAACTTTCATTCTATGCCCATGCCAAACCTCATTAAGATGATACACATTTATCTTTTACTATGTGAAGGACACTGTGTATTCTCAACTACTAAATATTTTACCTTTGCAGCAAGTTGTAGTCCAATTTTGTCAGCTTCAGCCTCCAGTGTTCTACTATATGGTCTATCAAACATAAACTAAGAAGAAATAAGAAAGAAAAGTTCCATTAAGGCTATTTCATAACAAAAGGAGCAAAAAATGAGATTTTAAAAATTAATTTCATGAAGTACCTAGGATATAGCTTTTATGCTCTCCATGATAAACATTTAAAGAACACCATGGTATAAAACAAAGTGCAGCCTTTATTTCCTCCATCAGAGATTTTTTTTTTTTTTTTTTGCGGTATGCGGGCCTCTCACCATTGTGGCCTCTCCTGTTGCGGAGCACAGGCTCCAGACGCGCAGGGTCAGCGGCCATGGCTCACGGGCCCAGCCGCTCCGCGGCATGTGGGATCTTCCCGGACCGGGGCACGAACCCGTGTCCCCTGCATCGGCAGGCGGACTCTCAACCACCGCGCCACCAGGGATGCCCAGAGATTAATATTTTTAAAACATGGAAAGAATAGGAAAAAACCATGCCTGCAAACTTTTGGAGAGTCCACAGTGTCATACAGTGGACTTGTATTTTTCCAATTATAATCTCTACTTACTATGTAGAGGATTCCCTAAGAAAGCTTATTGATGCAGGATTTTTAATATGACCAAGGAACATTGTGATCTTGCAGTTTTAAAAGAAAATTGAAAAACTATAGCTATATAATAGCCAGTGACACTACTAGAGGATTTATTTCAGTTAGAAAATTAACCATATAGCAGAATGTTCTTTCTTTGACATATTATCTTAATTTCCTCTTTGTTTTCTAAGTATCGATTAGTTAGGAAAATGAACTTTTCTTCCAACTTCAATAAAAGAATACAAATAGATATTATAACTGTAATTTTCCTAATTACTTGTATTTATGTGAATGCTTTCCAGTTAAATACTAATTTTCAGTAAGTACTAAAACTTTGTAGAAGATGGATCAATAGGCAGGATTTTTGAGAGAAGAGCTATTAATTGGGGAAGCAATTTTTCAGAGGTAGCTGCATGTCAGTAATGGCTAGAAATAGTAAAATCAATCTAATCCATTGTATATGACCATTAGATATGACTTGCTTCCTTCTCGATCATGTCTGTTTTAGGTTGCTGAACTATATTATATAGTGTCTGCACTTTCCATAAGCAGTCTGCAGGTGTCCCAACGAATCTGCCGGTAGTATAACCAATTAAAAACATTGGCTTTAAAAGGAAAGAAACGTGTTCAAGCCCAAATGCTGATGTGTATTAACTATTAGTTCTGGGCTAATTTTTTAACGCCTCTAAGCCCAATAGCATCATATGTAAAATGGAGCAGTAACAGTACCAAACTCCTAGAGTTGCAGAGAGAATAAAATGAGCAAATAATAATTAATAATAATAACTCCCATTTGTTGAGTCCTTACTTGGTACCAGGTACTGTGCTAAATGCTTTCAATCAGTGGTTCTCAACTGGACGTGATATTGTCCCTCAGGGACATTTGGAAATGTCTGGAGATATTTTTGATTGTCACAACTGGGGCTGGGAAGAGAGGGGGGAGTGCTACTGGCATCTAGTGGGTAGAGCCCAGATGTGTAGAGGCATCTAGACGTGTAGAAGCCACTGAACATTCTGCAATGCAGAGGACAATTCCCCACAACAAAGAATTATCTTGTCAATTCTTTGTCAATTCAAAATGTCAATAGTGCCTATATTGAGAAATGCTGTTTTAAATGTATAATTAAACCCACAATAATGTTTGAGTTAGCCACTACTATTATCCAAACTTACAGATAAAGAAACTGAAACCTATAATAAGTGAAGTAACCTGCTGAAGTTCTATAAAATTTAGGTCTAATAGAGATTAAATTCAAACACAGATCCATCTGATCAGAGCCTGTATTCTTAACCCCTGTACAAAATTAATCTACAGTGTTTATCCTAGTGCCTACAATACAGTAAGTACTCAATAAATGTTAGCTACTATAATCATTATTAATAGCTCTCAAAACCCTACCTGGTAGCGCTCTATGAGGGCTGCTACATTGTACCCAGACAGTTAAGTGAGGGCCCCCTACTTCTTCCTTCCTCTCTTCCTTTCTCTGACAAAAAAATGTCAGCAATTCCCCCTCAAGAACTTCACTATCAGCATTCCCCTCTGCTCTCCAATGACAATGAGCAAGCTTCCAGAGAAAGAAATATTTCCTTGTCACCAAAACTACTGGGAGGGGGTCCTGATTTAGGGAAAAAGAGTTCAAACAGAAGTAATCCTTACTTCGTTTTCAGTTTAATTATTAAAGAATTATACTCAAATAGCAGGATCATCAAGTATTTCAAGGGACAAACAGCTTCCAGTTATCTTTCTTATGACTTAATCTCCTGATTCCATTACAGAAAAAGCTATTTATTGATAAATGGGGGGAAAACTACATTACCTTCTCTGACTTCCCAGCACATCAATGATAAAAATAAAATTCAAAATATGAGATTCTATAATCTAAGCAATAACCATTCTTTCTTTTTCCGTTTAAGAACCTTTATTTCAATATAAATGAAACCAAATGATATGCTAACACTGAATAAAAGACTTAGTTATTCAATTTCTAAAGCAATTTGTCTCAAAGAATTTTACACATTGGATTTAAACAGCACCCAGATGGCACTCTGATGGGTGCTCCACAAATCACTGAATAAACAAATAACAGATTGTTCCTAAATAACCAAACCTCCCAGGACAAGAAGAAATATCTGATGAAAGACATAAAATAAAATAGCTAATCATAGTTAAACAAAGCAGATATTAAGATTGCAAGACCTCCTTTCAGTAGTGTACTGTTTTGACCAAGATGGAGGACTCAAAAAATTTTATCAGATGACTATCATTATGCATAAGTACTAAAAACAAAAGTTAACAAACACCTATTAAGACTGTCCTTTCAGTATTTTCCAGGCAACATTAATTTAACTGGGAGTGAGGAGATGAGGGTAGTCAAGCAGCTTCTGCCAACCCTGCGCCCATAAAAGTTTACAGGTTTTAAGAGTTCCCCATTAAAATGCAAATATTTGGGGGAAGGGAGAGTCATCCAGTGAGTACACCACTGTTACTAGGAGACAAAAGGGGAACGTCTGAAGGTAAAGCAACAGAAGGAAAGAAAGGGTTGTGACTGGGTTTCTCTCTGTAAGAACAATAACTATGCAAAAAAAAAAAAAAAAAAAGCTAGCCAAAAGTTGCCAAGCCCTTCTAATCCATCTATCTCCATCATAAAAGAGATGTAATATTTTCTAATTTGAATGCTCACTATTAAGAATATCCCCTAAGGGCTTCCCTGGTGGCGCAGTGGTTAACAATCTGCCTGCCAATGCAGGGGACACGGGTTCAAGCCCTGGTCCGGGAAGATCCCACGTGCCGCGGAGCAGCTAAGCCCGTGCGCCACAACTACTGAGACTGCACTCTAGAGCCCGCGAGCCACAACTACTGAAGCCCGCGCGCCTAGAGCCCATAGTCCACAACAAGAGAAGCCACCACAATGAGAAGCCCACGCACCGCAATGAAGGGTAGCCTCCACTCGCCGCAACCAGAGAAAAGCCTGTGCACAGCCACGAAGACCCAATGCAGCCAGAAACAATAAATAAAAAATAAAAAAAGAATATCCCCTAAAAATAAGAAGACGTAAGACGCCAAAAATTAGCACCCGTTTTTCGTGGCAAGACTCATGATAAGGTATGAAAACATTTCTGGTACTTTTTCCTTTACAGTAAAATGTCCTCACCACAGGCCATTGCAAATTCAACTTATTGTTTCAGACTTACCTCCTGCAATTTAGACTGAATCCACTGGCCCAAAAGTGCCAAACTATCTCGAGGACAAATGGCCCAAATCATTGTGAGAAAAATCAGACCTAGGAAATCCAGGAAATGAACCAAGCTAGCCTTTTCTGCCTGAGAAAAATCAAAATAATGAAAATTACACTTAATAAATTCAGATAGTACATGCTAACATTTTCTAGTTCATCGTGTGTAATCACATTAAATAATTACATGTGTTTAACTGAACTTTGCCACGTAAGACTGCAAATTCGTTTTCTTCTGTGCACTTTATCCTTTCCCAGTCTGTTTTTCCCATCTCTTGTGTACATACTTATGCATTCATTTAATCATTCAACTAATAACTACTTGAGCCACTACCACCATTCAGATACAATGACAGGTTCATTAACCTACAGTGTCTTATATTAACAAGCATAATAATCTTGTAAAATAGGTACAATTGTTCCCTATTTTATAGATAAACTAAGATGAAGAGAGATTAAAAGAGTTGCCCAAATTCAAAAAGCAATTAGTAAAAGAACAAGGAATCAAACCCAGGAAGTTACAGTTTCTAATACAGTCACTAAATCTTTTTAAAAAATCAAATAAATATGTTTATTATGCTTATACTTTTAGACAGAGACCAAACACTACCTAACATATGAAGCAGTTAAAACAAGGAACAATTCAGGAAAATATTAGAAATTTATTTTTTAAATAAAAGTCTTTTGACTTCATGACCTAATATGTGAAGAGTCATGCAAGTCTGCAACTTTATCAGCCTGGTATTTCCCACCAGGAAATTTAGTTATATGATTTTTTGTATTTACTTATAGCAGTAACCAAAAAATGTTTTACTTAAAATAGTTGTTTGGAGTAGTAATATCTAAATATAAGTTTACTGCACTGGACTGTTCATTGTTCCTCACTAAAGTTGCTGAATAAATGTTATTGTAGTGCTGATACTGATAATATAGGAATCATCACTTGAATGTATGAAACATGGCTAACAACTAAAAATAATCACCTAGAATACTTCTGAATATAATCTGCCTTCACAAAGCATTCTTTGCTTCATTGTAAGACTCATGAAAAACAATTATGGAATTATTGTAGCACTAAATGATGAAGTCATTATAGAAGAGAAAATCCTTGTAATTAATTATTAAAGAATATAATTGTTATTACATAATCTTAGAAAACTAAAAATTTTTTTAAATTTGTATTTGTGAAATAGTGAAAACACAAAATGGAGACTCCTAAAAGAGAAAACATAGTATTGACAGTGTCTAAGACCTCTAACAAAGAAATATTAATAACTATTTCCTATTTTTAAGACCATTTGCTTTTTATGTCTCGTCTAATTATTGCTCTTGCACCGATAGAGATGACAACATTATGCTGAACAAGGCACTGACCCAGATGCCAGAAAAATTAATGTGCTGAAATGAACACCTTTTAAAAACTAAAAATGGCCCAAATTGATTGATTTTGCAGTTATAAAGCCATTTCTAGAAAGATATAACGTATTTCAACTGCTTAGATTTATTCTTGTATGTATGCGTTTGAGGAAGAAATTTTTTTCTATTTTCCTGTAACTCAGAAGAAATAAAGGAGATAATTACTATTTGCGCTCTAGAATAGCACAACTTTGGCCCACCTCATCTTATTGATACTCTAAGGAAAAGACAGAATTTGAGATGACATTTAGAGGAATTAATAACATTATCATTTCCACTTGCATTTCTGATATATTCACAATCCTTCCACTATTTACCTTTGTGTTTTCAATTAAAAAATACACCTCTCTCTAATCATGTAAACAAATGAGCCATGCACAATTTTTAATGAATAAAAATAAAAATATGAGTAAACAAATATATTATTTTTCTAGATTCACACCAAGTCAAACAGATGTATATTCACAAGGGTATATAAATCTACCTGAATTCTATGATGTATGAGAAAAGTGCTGCCAACAGCCGGGTAACTGTGGGAAGAGGAAGCAGTGCCAGACTTGCAAACAGAAAACCTTGATTACAGTTCCAATTCCGCCAGTTTGTCACGTTAGTCATGTTTTTAAACATTAGAGACCTCGTGTATAATATAGCAGCAGTCCCCAACCTTTTTGGCACCAGGGACCGGTTTCATGAAAAACAATTTTTCCACAGACAGGGTGGGGGGATGGTTCAGGGGGTAATGCGAGCGATGGGGAGCGGCAGATGAAGCTTCGCTCACCCGCCTGCCGCTCACCTCCTGCTGTGCAGCCCAGTACCAGTAGACGGCCTGGGGTTTGAGGACCCCTGTAATATAGGGATATTAAATACCTACCTCATGAGGATAGTATTAAAATTATGAATGAGAAGGTATTAAAAAACTCAGTAAACTGTAAAATGGCAAGGTATCATTATTATTACTCTGCATTAATTATACATGGCATATCATTCTAGACATTTTCAAAGATGCTCTAAGCTATCCTCTGAGAATGAATAAAGAAGTAAGAAAACATTTACCACTTGAATAGTAATATCACTTTCCTACAGTTGATTTGCTGACTAGATTCTAAGTATGTTAATAATTATGGAAAGTTTAAAATCTAATTTGAAATAATTACAGGTTGAGAATAATCACTTCTTAGCAAAAAAGACAGATGATAAAAATAGTATTTAACAGAAACACTAATTATTCAGTATAAAACACTAAAGATGATAAAAATTCTCAAAATTAGCCAATCATACTTTCTCAGGTAACAGAATAAGTCAATTATTAAAAACTAAAATTCCATCATAAAAAATAACTGAAAAGATTCAGTTCTCTAAAAGATTTAACTTGCTAATTTCAAAGGAGTGTTTCAACAACTGAACATTCATTTTAGGTACTTACGGCATGTTCAAGTACTGCATGTGCTATTTCATGGCCCAGAAGGAAGGACAGCTGATGAATATCAGTCACACTATTTAAAAGCCCAGTGAAGATAAACACTTGTCCGTTCTGCACCATAATGAAAATAATGTAAGGAATTAGAACAACATAAAAAACAAGGACGTTAAATTTAACAATTAAAAATTAGGCTGGGTAACATTTACGTACTGGAAGCACAAAGGCATTTATATCTGGGGAATCAACCACGTGAATTATCCAATTGATCTCAGAGATCCCTGGAATATCTTTATTGCATTCAATTAAATGATGAACCACTTCTTTAACAGCCATGTATCGGGTGTCTTTCTCAGTTAGCATATCATTTTTAAATTCTTCCATCCACTGAAAGATTAAAAAGAAAAGTAGTCTCTAAGAGAGTGTTAGCTCTACAAAATTTTTATGTTGCTTTAAGGAGTGCTATATGGCACTTGCTGTTGAACACTTTAATTTCTAAATATGTAAAAATATGCACATATTAAATACTCAAAAAATTTCAAATTTGAATTATTTATGCAAAGGCAATCTGGTTTCTCACAAAGAGAATAAATTCTAATAACTAAGATTTTTCATATAAATTGGTTGAAATAAAAATTCACTCATCTTTTCTATTAGCCTATAAACAAATAAAATGCTTAAATATTATTTCTAACTTCCTAAATATTTTAGAAAACAAAACATTGCCTAGAGAACAGAAAGATTTCATATAAGAAAGTAAAATACAAAAGAAAATTACTTTCATAACATACTGAATAGAAAAACACCCTATACTTATTAAGAAAGTTAAACTTCTGCCAAAAAAGGACACTTCATTAATTTTAAAGCGCTTTAGCCAGATAGATTGAAATTACTAAACTTTTAGAACTAATGGGCATATCATTTTCTCTATATTATGCTAATTAAGACTAACCACCATATGAAGACACTTTTTCTGAAGCTATATTCATGAGACTCTTACAAGTGTACTTCGAAAAGTGAGGATGTTCTTAAAATATTAAATTTCCATAAAATGTATAATTTCTTTCATATATGAATCAAGAAGTTCGTAACCTTCCTCCTTGAGATGCATTAAAAACATGATTTTATAGAATATGAATTTGAAAGTCTTTATATAGCATTTTTTAAAAGCACAAGTCACCAGTGTAAACTGTCTGAAACAAAGAAAAACACTGAAGTAGATACAACAAACAAAATTATATGTAATTACAGTACTTTATAATAATCCCATAAGAGCATGTGTTTGAATTTTCATAACCAACAGGTATTACATTTGTAGGCTAAAAAATAAGAAAAAAAATATATGTACATGTATATAATTTTTTAAAGCTTCTTAGTGATATAAATGGTAGAAGATAACACTAATTTAACACTAGGCCTTTCTCAATCTTAACAGAACACTTTCCTCAAACTTGCTTCTAACTAGACTATTCTAAGAAACATCTCAAATCTCTGTATAAACTGTATAGAAGAGATTGGTCTTATCTTTATTAAGAACAATCTTTTTAGTGAAAAACCATTGTTATTTCCTTTTTTATGGTAACTTTCCATTAACAAACTCAGAAGCTCAACTGAAATAAAAATCTAACCATGACAAAGCTGTCAAGTGAGGTTATAAATTCCACAAATATTAATTGAGCATATACAGGCGCACCTCAGAGACACTGTGGGTTCAATTCCAGTTCTCGATATCTTTAATGAGATATTCACCACAAAGTGAATATCTTAGTAAAGTGAGTCACATGAATTTTTGGTTTCCCAGTGCATACTGTGTGCAACAGCATTATGTCTAAAAGAAACAATGTACATATCTTAAAGAACACCTTATAGCTAAAAAATGCTAACCATCATCTAAGCCTTGAGCAAGTCATAATCTTTTTTGCCTAACAAATATAATAATAATGAAAAGCCTTGAAATATTGCAAGAATTACCGAAAAGTGACCTAGAGATATGAAGTAAGCAAATGCTGTTGGAAAAATGGCGCCGATAGACTTGCTTGACACAGCGTTGCCACAAACCTCCAATTTTTAAAAATGCAACATCTGCAAAGTGTAATAAAGCAAAGAACAATAAGATGAGGTTTGTCTATACTGTTTATGTGCCAAGCACGAGAGATAGAAAGATGATCCGTCCTCAAGGAACTCACTAGTGGTATAAAATGTTTAACTACTTGAGTGACTATACTTTCCAAGGAGGTTAAGACTTCTGAATTCCAACTTTATTTTGCATTCAAAAAATATAATAAAAGCCAAAATTGACGTGTGGGAGGGGGAGAGAATATCTTATTCTACTTTATTTTCAAGGTACAAAAATTCAAATTACAGATCTATTTATTCAAAAAAATATATACTAAGCACTACCTTGTACACTGTGCCAGTACTTAAGATGAAATGATAAACAGAATAGACAGGGTCTCTGACCCCCTGGAGCTAGTCTAGAAAGGGAGACAGATCAACAGATAAATAATTATGCAAATAATTATGGTGTTACCCTCACGATAAGTGTTTTAAAAGAAAAGGACAGTATGCAAAGAGAAAAGTAGGAGACCTAGCCCCAATATAGCCAAGCACAGAGCATAGCTACAAATGACTAATTCATAACGCAGTCTGTATGAAGGATACGCCCTAGAGCCTAACGTAGCCACCCTGCCTAACCCAGTCAGGATAATCAAGGAAGGCTTTCCTAAGAAAGTGACATTTAAGGTGACATGTGATGAACAGGAGTTAGCTGGGTGATACAAGGAAAGGCAATGTAGGCAGTAGGAATACTAAGCATGAAAGGTCTGAGGCCTTTTGGAAAAAATGCTAATTTGCTATCGGAGATTAAATTAAAAACTAGTGCATCTTTCATAAGAAACCTTCCTCCTTTGAGTATTACATCAAGCAATGTAGTTAAAAACAATTCTTTCTACTTACTGCTTCATATTCCAGTTCTGATAAAAGTCTGAAATGTTCTTTCCCCAGTAATAGAAGCTTGCTCCTTCCTGTGACTGGACTCACTTCCAGGTGTGTAAAATAAAATACTACAAAAAGCAATCCAAAACTACTCAAACCAAGGAATAACTTCCATTTATTCTTCCTTACACTTTCTTTAAATAGTTCCTTCTTGTTAGGAGGAAGTGCCTGCCACCATTTCCTTATGCCCCTGGAGCAAAAAGAAAAATTCAAAGTTCTGATAATAGAATCAGTACATATCACCAAAACTTAATGCTTATGCTAAAATTCTGTCATCAAATACTCGAATTTTTACATTTTTCTGTATAGATGGTTTTTTCAATTTTTAAAAATTCTTAGCTAAATGATGAAAATGTAATCAATTATATGGAGCTACAGTTAAAATTCTAATGCTCATTTGAATTTTCTTCAGTTATTTTAAAGGTAAACGCTAAATGAGAAGCTGTTTTACTATAACTACCATTAATATTTATTGACTGTTCAGCACATTCAAGGTACTCTTCTAATGCTATACGTATATCACCTCATTTAATCTTCATAATAATCTTGTTACAGAAGAGAAAATTGAGACTTAAGAGAAGTTAAACAATTTATACAAGGTTGTAGAGTTAATAAGAGGAAAATAAGGCAAGGAAGGCAATATAATAGGGATGAATTGCCCAGATAAACATCTGAAGGCGTTATGGTACAACAAATCCATACCTTTAACCACCACTGCCCCCACTGCTCGTCAGACATCTGAGACAATCTGCCAGTACTTCAGTAAGGTACAAGGGAAACTATCTCAGCACTGATTTTAGAAACAAATATTGCTCAGTAGCAGAAACTCTACTAACCCCTCAAGAACATGACAAAGGAGAGGTAATAAAAAGAGCATAAGCACTGTAAATACGGAAATGAGAGATTTTATAGATAACATCTGGGGAGGTCCAATTCTACCAGGCAACAATAGACTCTCTCCTGCTTATTAGGGTTCATGGACATTTTGACAACCAGTAATGTTTTCAGCGCTGGAGCAGAACTTTTTCCCTATGAGTTCATCTGTGAAATTACAACAAGAATTTAAAATATATACATCATTCTCTTGACAAAATTTATTTTATAAAATAACTTCTTTGAGTTATCTTAATCTTGTTAAGTGACACACCTAAAATGCCTTTAAAGTGTTTCAACCTAAAAAGATTCAGATCAAACTATGAAGTATACTCATTTCCAATTTAAAAGTTTATGACATTATCATTTAAAATGTATGAAAACATATCCTAAAATAAAATTTTAGGTGATTTACAATAGTAATATCAACAAAAGGTTAAAAATAAATAATTTAAAAGGATGAAAAAGAGTTATTGGCCCAAGAACTTGGGCTGAGTTGTGACAAAGATTCTCTCCTACCCCGAACTCTACTCAGACTCCCCTGAACTCTTTTTCAAATAGGCCTTGTCTTTTGGACTACTGTGTTCACCTCGGCATTGTCCAATTTTAGCAAGAATCCTGCTAGGTCAATTAAGTCAGAATCCTTCATCCTCCATATCAGATCACAATACCCAGTCTGTCCTTACCATTCATCATCCCCCAGGTGATATCTGATCACCCTCACCTGCCTTCAGCAATAACTCTAGTAGGTCAGTTTGGGTGGAATCCCCCCTTGCTCCTGATGTTTCCTCTCTGTAGTTTTCCATCTACCAACCCCCACCCTGCCCACATATCCCACGGTGTATTCAGAGCTGACTCTGGTTCTATGCAGAAGAAGTTTTCTCCTACTGTAGAAGTTCTGAATAAAATCTGTTTTTACTTCTTTAACTATTGTCTAGCTCTGGCTTTCTTTGATAGTCATTACTTAAATCGAGAGCTAAATTAGCTGAATATTTTCTGAGTGCCAAAGCCTAGTCATAAAGAACACAATAAATTACAGAGTACAGGTCCTTGATTTTTGATAAAAAGAAAACTGGGTTGGTTAGTATGGAAGTAAGAAGGCTAGAAGGCACTTCATAGTTATCAAACATAAGAAAAGTTTATAACGAGACAATACTTTACCTTTCTTCAATCTTCATGGAGCAAATAAGAGAAAACAGAATTATGAGGGGGAGTTTTAAATTAAATATGAAGTATTACTTAGCTGAAAAAAAACATTATTATAAAGGATCACAAAGAGAAAATAAAGATTTGTCGGAAACAGAATAGAAAAATAAATAAATAAATAAAAAATACTAATTAAGAGTTAACGTGGCTAGGAATGAGCCCTTTCTTAAGTAAGCAAAGTTCTTCAGTTTCATGCTCCATTGTCTCAAACTCCATGAACTAAAAAGGAATGCTTGTAAGTACAGTTCTTATACGTGAGTTGTAACAAACATTTCTGATTCTTGTAATCATAAATATAAGACCTTTTAAATAGTGTCTATATAAAATATACAAGAATAATTTTTAAAGATCACATTTCTGTACTATAATATGCAGTAGATGATTTTAAGATTATTAAGGCATACATAAAAAAACTGAGTAGAACCAACTGTTTAGAAACTGAATTCTGAGCTAATTATGGGAAGGAAATCTATAAAGTTTTCTTTAAAAATGAGTTTTACAGATACTTTTTAATATAAGAGTTTATATTTTAAAGAGCATTTTACCTGCCCACAATGATAGCCAGTAGCTTCTGCACTGGTTTAAGAATCATCAACAAGAGAGGAACCGGAGCAGCTTGAAACCGTGGAGAAGTATGGAAACTCCTGATGTCTCTTGTGTGTAAACAGTTTAGAGGATGCACCACTGAAAGCGCAGGAACTACTAGAACGTCTTTCATCAGTAGCTGTCTTGAGAAAGAGTTATTCCACGCAGTACATTTTTGGGTAATCATCCAAGTTTCCTTACTTCTGGTGCTCAAGAGGAAGCCTGTTCTTTTGTTATTAAAAGTCCTACAGAAATGAACGTTTTCAGGCAAAAATGTCCATCTATCACCCTGATTTACTCCCAGGCCCAGAGACTTATTTACTATATTGTTAATTTTCACTTGATGACAGTCCAGTGAGGTTACAGCTTGTGTGTTACGTTTTCTCCAGCTGGTCAGTAAATTAAATCGGAAGAAAACACAGTTTCTAGCAGCAAACTGCAGTCCACAGATGAAGCTCATCTTTGTTTTGCTTGATTATCTGGAACACAAAATATAAACTATAAATATCTAAGCAAAATACTCATTACGAAACTGGGAATATAACACTTATGAAAAAGGTGTTCTTCCTTTAACACATCTCTGACTAAATTACCTTGGGTTTCAACTCACTGCCCCCTGCAGCAACTCCTCTTAACAATAAAAACCAAAGAGGTTTTACTAACTTTTAACTCAACAACATGTACTTTCAAAATTTGGATTTTTTTCTTCGTTTCATTTTTTAATTTTAGTTGGGGGAGTCTATTTTTATTTTAACAGCTAAATTAGTTGGGGAATAAGAAATGGATTAAACAAAAACAGCACTAAGTTTCAGCAATTGGCAGTAATGGGGGGAAAGAGTATTTAATGGAATAGTAAAGTCTAACATAAAATGCATTTTTAAAAATACAGATTTGTGGGACTTCCCTGGTGGTCCAGTGGTAAAGAATCCGCCTTACTATGCAGGGGAAGCAGGTTCGATCCCTGCTCCAGGAACTAAGATCCCACATGCCGTGGGGTAACTAAGCCCGCACACCACAACTACTGAGCTAGTGTATCTCAACTAGAGCCCACTGTGCCACAATTACAGAGCCCACGTGCCCTGGAGCCCAAGCACCACAACTAGAGAGAGAAAACCCACACGCCACAACTAGAGAAGCCCACACACTGCAACAAAAGATCCTGCACACCTCAACAAAGACCCTGTATGCCGCAACTAAGACCTGATGCGGCCAAAAAAATAAAAAATAAAAATAAATTAAATAAATAAATATTTTTTAAAAAAACTAAAAAAAAAGTATGCAAAAATAAATAAATAAAAATAAAATACAAATTTGTTCCTTTCAAATATAATACTGGCACTTCTGATTCAGGTCAATACAGAGTAAAAGGGACTTATCCTGTCACTGAAAATAACTAAAAGAACAGAAAGAATATGTAGACCTAAATAGACATTTTTCCAAAGAAGGCACACAGATGGCCAACAGGCACATGAAAAGATGCTTGACATTGCTAATTATTACAGAAATGCAAATCAAAACCACAATGAAGTATCACCTCACACTGGTCAGAAGGGCCATCACCAAAAAGTCTACAAACAATAAATGCTGGAGAGGGTGTGGAGAAAAGGGAACCCTCCTACACTGTTGGTGGGAATGTAAATTGATACAGCCACTGTGGGAAATAGTATGGAGCTTCCTTAAACTAACAGAGCTACCATATGATCCAGCAATCCCACTCCTTGGTACATATTCATAAAAGACGAAAAGCCTAATTCAAAAAGCTACATGCACCCCAATGTTCATAGCAGCACTATTTGCAACAGCCAAGCCATGGAAACAACCCAAGTGCCCATCAACACAATGGAATATTACTCAGCCATAAAACAGAATGAAATACTGCCATTTGCAGCAAGATGGATGGACCCAGAGAATATTATACTTAGTGAAATAAGTCAAATATTATATATCATCATGTATATTTAGAATCCAAAAAAATAATACAAATGAGTCTATATACGAAACAGAAACAAATTCACAGACATAGGAAACAAACTTATGGTTGTTGGGGAAAGGGAGGGGGGAGGGATAAATTAGGAGTATGGGATTAACAGTTACAAACAGCCATACATAAAACAGATAAGCAACAAGGACTTTCTGTATAGCGCAAGGAATTATATTCAACATCTTGGAATAACCTATAACGGAAAATAATCTGAAATATATACACACACACAAACTGAATCACTTTGCTGTACACCTAAAACTAACACAATATTGTAAATCAACTATACTTCAATTTAAAAAAAAACAGAGACAATAAGTAAAACAATGGTTTCAACATACTGAACATCAGGCAATGAAGAACAGTCATCCCTGAGAAATGGGAAACAAATTAGGCGAGCCCTACAACTGCCCCAGCCTTCTGCCTGGAGAGAGTTTCTAGGCCACCATGCAAAGAGGGGAAACCTAGCATAGCCCAATGGTCCTCCTAAATTAAAGAGATGAAGCTGGGAATTCAAGGATATTAAACTAGTTATACATATTGCATATGTTTAAGAAGTTAAAGGAAAGTTTGGACATGTTATGTAGAGACATGGAATATATTTTTTCAAAAGATGGACACTGAATTTCTATATTTGAAAACTATAATGTCTTAGATAAAAATTACACTGGATGAGACTAACACCAAATTAGACATTGTATAAATAAAGACTTATGAACTGACGTATCAATAAAAAACTATCCAAAATGAAATGCAGAGAGAAAACAGACTTTAAGAAATGCATACAGCATCACTGAGGTGTGGGATAACTCAAGTGACCTGATATATGTGTAAATGGAGACCCTGAAAAGTGGAGAGGGATAGTAGACAGAAAAAAAAAAAAAAAAACTTGAAAAAATAATGACCAAAATTTTCCAAATTTGATGAAAACTGTAAACCCACAAATCCAAGAAGTTTAACAAACCACACACACAGGAAACACAAAAGAAACTACTTCAAGGTATATCAAATTTCTTAAAACCAATGAAAGAGAAAATCTTAAATTTGACACCTTGGATTAAATGGATACATTCATTGAAAAATACAAACTACCAGAGCTCACTCAAGAAGAAATAAACAACCTGAAGAGCCCTATACCCAATTTTTAAATTGAATTTATAGTTAAAAACCTTCCCACGAAGAAAGCTCCAGAACCAAAAGGCTTCACTGGGGAATTCTACCAAACATTTAAAGAAGAAATAATAATAATTCTATATAAACTCTTCCAAGAAATTAAAAAGGAATAGTTTGCAACTCCTTCCATAAGACCAGCACTACCCTGATACCAAAGACAGAAAAAAAATTACAAGAAGACTATAGAATAATATCCCTCATGAACATAGATACAAAAATTCTTAATAATATTCAGGAAATCTAATTCAAAAATATATTAAAAAGACAATACCTCATGACCAAGTGAGGTTTGTCTCAGGAATGCAAGGTTGAATAAAAATTCAAAAATCAATCAATGTAATTCACCCTAACTGAAGAAAGAAACACTACATGATCATCTCAAAAGACACAGAAAAAGCAATGGATAAAATCCAACAACCAACCCTGATAAAAACTCAGTAACTAGGACAGCTACAGGAACCTATAGGCAACAGTACGTTTATTGGTGAAAGATTATACTTTCCTCCTCAGATCAGGAGCAAGGCAAAGATGTCTGCTCCCACCACTCAACACTCAACATTATACTGGAGATGCTAGGCAGTGCAACAGAATTAAATAAATAGATACATAACTAACTAAATAAATGGCATCCAGATAATAAAGAAGTAAAATGATCTTTATTCCTAGATAACATGACTGTCTATCCAGGAAATCCAAAGAAATCTACAAAAAAAACCTATTAGAATGAGTTTAAGGTGGCAGAATACAAGAGCAATACACAAAAACACTAGCAAGTGAGAGAAGCCAGACTCATACACAGGAAAAAAAATACACAGGAAAGGACACTACTCTCTCTCCAAAAATCATGCTCTATGATTTCAGCTTTATAATATAAACTGAAGTTTATATATATATAAACTAACTATATATAACAATATATAGTTAGCAGACTAATTTATACTTATAGAGAAATCAGAGGATGGAAACGTAAAGAGGGGCAAGAGGAGGGATTACAAAGTTTGGGGGGGCAACTAAAATGTTCACTATTGTGGTTGTGTTGTTGGTTTCATAGATATACACGTAAGTCAAAACATGCACAGTTTAAATATGTCCAATTTATTGTATATCAACTATACATTAAGCTATTTTTTTAAAAGGTACTGAAAAGAGACAACCAAATGCAATGTGTGAACTCTGATTAGATCCTAATTTGAAAGAAAAAAATTTGTTTTAGAAGACAACTGGAACTATTGGGGTAATTTGAATATGAATTTGCTTTTAGGTTATTTTAGATAAGTACTGCTTATTTTCTTAGGTGATAAAGATGTGGTTATGTAGGTGGATATCTTATACCTGAAATGCTTGCTCAACTCTCTTTTCATGATGAATAAAACTTTCAAATTTTATAATAAAAATACATTCAGACATACACACAGGACATAAAGGCAATACAGAAAAATACTAACAACCTTTGTATCTAAGTGGTGGTTATGTATGTGCTCATTAAATTTTTTTTCAGTTTTTTTTAGTGTTTCAAATCTTCATAATAAAAGTTGCAGGGAAAAATACATAAATCTAACTCAGTCTAGGCTAATACAATATTATCTGGAAAGATGCTTCAGAACATCAATTTTCATAAATAGTATTATCTATACATCAAATTATTTGAAAATTACTCAAATTTTTTACATACTCAGTAATGCTTAAAACACACTAGTATATACAAATATAAGTAAATCTAAAGGAATACACACCAAACCATTCACAGTGGTTATTTGGGGTGGCAGGATGATGGTTGTAAGGGATTCAGTATTTCCATCTCATATATTTCCGTGCTGTTTAAACTTTTACAGCATATGTTATTACTTTTGTAAGCCCCAAATCAATAAAGGCAACTATATTTGTAATTACCATTGATTTCCATGGGCTTCAATAAACTGCATATTGCAGACCAAGCCCCTCATAATACCACCTCCCACTGTTTCTCCAGGCACCTTCCCTACCCCTCCTTCACCCATTCCGAAGCTCCAGACCCACTGATTTACTTACACCTCTCAGAAAAGAAAAGCTCTCATCTGTCTGTGCAGGTCTATTTACACTGCTTAGCTCTGTTCACATGTCAAGCAAACTCCTGCTCACAGCTCACAACTAACGTGAAATTTAAAGTATTCTACTGACACAGAAGTTAGCAAAAGCCCCAAACACTGTATGTAGTACATATATAAGCAAAAACGCTATCATTTATACCACCTACAAGTGTCACTTGAAACAGAAATAGTGCCTGATATTTTGTAATCCCTGCTGTATCCTTAAGAAAGGGTAAAGAATGGGAGAAGAAAACTATACATTTTCAAAGATCCAATCACTAGACTACACAGAGCAGAAGAAAGAATCAGGGCTGACACATCCTCTTCAAAGAACTGTAGCAGGTCAACAAACATAGCTGGCAGACTTCCAGGATTACTAAATTAATGATGTGAGAAAACTAAACAATTTGGATTGTTAGCCTCTACGAACATTTCAGATCCTTAATTCTTTAAGTACCATCTCAGAATGAGCAAGTACAGCGCTCACTGGCACTCACAGCTGAAGCCTGGAAGACAGTTTTAACAACTCTTCTGAAAGTGACTATTTCTTCCCTAGTTTCTATGGAAACAGCTGTCAGATTGGCAAAAATAGCACATGTACTTTAAAATAATCATTCAAGCAAAGTACACACATGATGGAAGGCTTAAAAAATAATAATAAATTAGAAGGCAACAGAGTTGGTTCTTAAGCTTCCAAATGCCAGACTGCACCCCTTCACCACAGCTGAGAATGATGGATATGAACCCAAATCCTTTTCGTGAGGGTTACATGGCATGGGTCAGAGTCACCATAGTTGTTCAATCCCTGAATTCCCAATGAAGTATTTTCATCTCCCTGGACTAAAATTTCTCATTGAGCACTGCATGGCACAACACAACTGCTGTTCCACTTTACGCAGGCAAGTGACATTATTTAAGGAGCACAAAAAGTGAATTTGTAGACAAGTTCATGAAGAAATTATTTAAATACCCTACAACTGTTGAGACAGGTAATTTCCTATTTTTCACTGCGGGGTTTGGGTAGGAAAACGTTTACTTTCTCTGCTTTAAGAGGGACAGGTAAAAGAGAGGGTTTGAGTCTCAAGATGACAAAAGCGGCTGGAAGAGATTTTCTACGGGTGAAGGTGTCACTGTGACGCACACGATACTGCGGTAAAAAGAACCACAACTTTTAAAAAAGCGCCGCTAATGAGAAGGCTGGGAGGAGAGGGAGCTTATCTTCCCGGAAAAATGCAGCCACCTGCCTATTTGCAACTCCCGCGCTGCCAGGGTAACAACCTTGGGTCCCCGCAGTTCAACACCAGGACGGGATCAGGCGGGACAAGGAGACTTTACTGCCACGTCCTCCTTTCCCACTCGCCCTCTCCCCCGACTTCACACGCCGCCCTCGTGCTTCACTCCAGCCCGGCTCCCCGTCGTCCCTCCTCCACCCCAGGCCTCGCCACCCCAACCCAACCGAGCCCCCAAGTGTCCCCGCTCCTAACCCCAGCGCCCCTCCAAGCTCCCTCCACCCCAACTCCCGTACTCGGCCCCCTCCCCTGGGCCCGGCCCACTCTTAATAGCCGTGCAAAGGCGTCCCCAACCAGGACAGACCCTAGCAGTGGCGAAAGCGAAGGTTCCTCTGACCCGACCTATGCGCAAGCGTACGCCCCGCCAAAGAAGCCCAGCCTCCTCACTTCCTGCCCTCGCCTCGGACGTGGACGCCTTTGGCTCCGCCCACAGCGGGTAGTCAATACACCCGCCCAGAGTCTTCCTCCCAGAGGGCCCCGATCCCTTACGAACTGTGGCGCTCTAGCGCCCCCGCGTGGCCGGAGGAGGGACGTGGCTGCAGGCAGAGCTGCTCGCCTGGAAACATCTTCACTTGCTCAGGTCTTGGAACCTGACTTGGGTCCATCTAATGAGTGATCCAGGCAAGGCTGTGCCTGCTGTAGATTCTAAGGCAGTGCTGACCAAAAGGAAGGAGATTCGAGGGCTGCCAAAAGGCTAAGGTTTCTTGGTTCAGAAGTTGCCCTGATAGAAGTAGTCTTTGGGCTGTGAAAACTGTTTTCACATGGCACATCCTAAGGAAGATGAAGAATAACCTGAAGCATCTGGAAGATAGTTGAAAATAGCTGGCTACAAAGTGATGTGTATAGTACACTTCATTCATTCCACCAAAAAGTATTTACTGGGCACCAAGTGCCTTCCAAGTGCCAGGGAAACAGAGAGCAAGACAGACCCTACTTTCATGGAGCTTATATCATAGTGAAGAACGAGACAACAAGCAAGTAAACAAGTAAATAAATAAGATATCAGATATTGACATGATCCCATAATTTCAAAGTCAGTTTGTTATATTTATATTCTATGCACAATGAAGAACATCCTAAAGGATGTAAACACTATTTTTAGGTATCACTTTTAGAGCGTTTTAAAGTAATTTTTTCTTTTATCTTGCTTGTCTATATTGTGTAATTTGCCTTTTGCTTTAAAGGAACTATGTTGGCATATCTCTGACCACTGGTTCCCTAAAAACTGAAGGGGCAGTTCCCTGAATCTTCATGGGCTTATCTCCCACCCTCTGAAGTGCATGTTTCTTACCAAGGTTTCCAGTATACTAGCCACCTCTTGCTCATCCTGCCTGATTAGCATGATGTCATCAATGAAACAGGTGTGACATTCTGTGGGTTGACCAGGTGGTCCAGATCCTGTACTATGATGGATCACAGAGCTGACACAACAGCTGTGATCAGGGCTATTACATGATTAGGTCTGCAGTAGTTTGTAAGCCATCCTCCTGGTTTCTGAAGGGGCCAGACAGGCAAACTAAATGGAAATATGACAGGGACGACCATCCTTTGGGTTGTTCATGGGCATTAACTCCACCATCATCCCCCGCTTCCCCTTGGATGAAATACAGGTTTTGATTTACTATCTCGACTTGAAAGGGAGGGGACAGTTTCAGAGGCTTTCACTTGGTCTTCCCCACATGAGAACTCGAGGCCAAGGACCTAATGTGGGGCTTCCTTCAGCTTCCCAATATATATACTCCCAGTTATGCACTCAGAGTCTGGGGAAATGACCACTGGGTGGGTCTATAGGCCCAGGGACCCACTGTAAGCTGGATGTTATCCAGGACTCCGCTTATTACCTGACCCCTAAAAGTCCCCAGTCTTAGAGAGAGGACTTGATAACACTTGGATTTCTGAGTAACAGGATCCTTTCAGACCCTGGGAAATGTCTGGGTATTCCTCTTTTCCCAATATATAGTCAGCTGAGAAAATGGTCATAGGCCATGGGGCAATCATTACTGTAAATACTTGTTTCAGTGTTTTAGGGTTCTTCTTCCTAGGGACCCAGCCACCTCTTTGGTCAATGGGTTCTGTGGTCTGGGTCTGAAAATTGACTCAGATGTGAGAATTAAGCAAAGAACATGACTTTTTATTGGGGTAACAACTCTGAGCCTCCTGTTCCTCCATTCTTTTCTTTTTTTAATTTAATTTAATTTAATTTTATTGGCTGTGTTGGGTCTTTGTTGCTGTGCGCGGGCTTTCTCTGGTTGCGGCGAGCGGGGGCTACTCTTCCTTGTGATGTGCGGGCTTCTCACTGCAGTGGCTTCTCTTGTTGCAGAGCATGGGTTCTAGCCGCGTGGACTTCAGTAGTTGTGGCACGTGGGCTCAGTAGTTGTGGCACGCGAGCTCTAGAGCGCAGGCTCAGTAATTGTGGTGCACAGGCTTAGTTGCTCCGCGGCATGTGGGATCTTCCCGGGCCAGGGCTCGAACCCATGTCCCCTGCATTGGCAGGTGGATTCTTAACCACTGCACCACCAGAGAAGCCCTGTTCCTCCATTCCTGTGTCTTTCTGGTCATAGATGTTAAGCAGAACCAGTTGGCGGCCCATCTATGTTTTCCCCTAGGGACACCTTGTATTATTAAATACCTTCACAACCTCTGTGGATCAAGCCCCCTAAGGCTGCTCCCTTGACCTTGCCAGCTGTTATAGTAATCACAGCCCCCAGACTTCTGGTGGTTAAAGCCACCACCTGGCTTCTATTACTTCAGGATGCTATCATCCTCCTGGATATTATCAAGCCCAGCCCTGTGATTGCTTCTCTTACCATCATCCCTAGCTGGTACTCGTCTCATCAGTGCCTTCCTTACTGTCTTTGTATACTATCTGTCTTTTGGGCCTCCAGTGGAACATAATCCTCTGTCTGATCTTCTGGCTCCACAAAATAAATCATTCCAGCAAGCCCACTTCCCTTGGGCTTTTCTTTCCTTCTTCTAGAGTCTGCCAGAGCAATTCAGATGGCTTCCTCTCTGGAGATTTCCCTTGGAAGACACCTGCCTCATCCAAGAATATGCCTTCTCTCCAGGGACAGTGCACATCCAATGACTGGTTAATCTGGGGGGACAAAGGCCTGACCCTTGGATTTTAATTGAGGACAACCCTTCAGGGCCATCCCAGGTCTCCATGGGACTGGCGGAGAAGCCCCACTTCTTCTGCCCAATCCTCTTTCCCTTCCTCTCCAGCAACTCTGCACACAAAGAATTCTTTCAGAATCTGTTTCTGGGGAACCCAACCGAAGGCAACTCAGTTTTCTCCGGAAGTAGAAGCTGCTTTGATACAGAAAGACTTTCAATCTCACCTCCTAAAGGAAGTACTGGAAACTGAATACTGAATTAAAGGAGAGACTAACTCTGAAGAATTATGAGGGATGAATTGTTTTAGCACCAGGCGTAGACAGAAGCTCAACAGACAAGAGGACTCTGCTGATCTAGATTCGGGCTGACAGCCAGGTGAGATGAGCACAGGATTTGATGAGGGTCACATATTTGATTGTCTGCAAGGCACAGGCAGTCTTGACTTAAAGTGGCCTTTCCTTTTTCTTGAATACGTGCTAGGCCTGACTGTTCCAGATGTTGGAGATGGCTGGCTCTGCATCTGAAATGCCCCCCCACATAGACAGTTGCCGCATCTTCATTTGCATATTCCACTCCAACAAAAATTAGCTTAGTATTTTCTCCATCCACATTTGACTTTTTAACTTTCCTCTCCTTTTTTACCTTCTTCTTCTCATATAGCATGAACAGGCAGGCCATTTCATTTTTTTAATTTATAACTTATAATTTTTTCTTTCTTTTTTTTTTTGGCCGTGACGCGTGGCATACAGGATCCTAGTTCCCCAAGCAGGGATTGAACCTGTGCCCCCTGCAGTGGAAGCAGGGAGTCTTACCACTGGACCACCAGCGAAGTCCCTTTTCTTTTTCTTTCTTTCTTTTTCTTTTGCCCAAATAGAATTGTCACACCACATTCCAGTGTGTTATTTTTATAAATGGCCACATGGATTGTCATTGCACTAGCTTGCTGACTGCTCTCCGTACCTCTGTCTCATTCCCCTTGTATAAACAGTAGCCAACCAGACCCACTTCCTGAAGTTGGGGGCCAAGAGGGTTCAGTATGGCTCAGCAAGCTCCAGGCTGGGCCCAGGAGGAAGCCACAGCTTGGACACGTCCTTGCTCACTCTCCAGAGGTTAGTTCTCCAGAGATCCCAGCTGAGCACTTTTCTAAGAGTCAGTGCAAACTACTATTTCTTTACTGCACAAGTAAAGTAACACCACAGAAAAGCAAAAAAAAAAAAAAAAAAGTACCCTTAACCCCACTACCCAGAGATAATCACTGTTAACATTTTGATACGTAACCTTCTTGAAAAGCAAAATTAAAATTACTTTAGGACTTCCCTGGTGGCGCAGTGGTTAGGAATCCACCTGCCAATGCAGGGGACGTGGGTTCAAACCCCGGTCCGGGAAGATCCCACCTGCCACAGAGCAACTGAGACCGTGAGCCACAAGTACTGAGCCTGTGCCCTGGAGCCCACGAGCCACTACTGAAGCCCACGTGCCTAGAGCCCATGCTCCGCAACAAGAGAAGCCACCATGATGAGAAGCCCGCGCACTGCAACGAAGAGTAGCCCCCTCTCACCACAACTGGAGAAAGCCCGTGTGCAGCCAAAAATTGATAAATAAATAAAATAATTAAAAAAAAGAAGCAATGTTTAAAAAAAAAACAGAATTAAAAATATAAAATAAAATTACTTTAAATACTTAAAACTTTGATAGGATAAAACATTTCTTACTGTTGTTTTAATGTGCATTCCTTTGATTCCTAACAATGTAAGCAATTTTTTATGCTTATCTGCTCTTTCGAGTTCTTCTTTAGCAAATTGTCTGTTCATGCCTTAACCTGTTTTTCTATAAAAACATTCATTTTTATCTTATCGACTGGTAAAAATATTTTATATATTTAAGAATTGTCTGTCCTTCACGTAGCAAACATTTCCCCTGCTTGACAGTTGCCTTTCAATTTTAATTCATGTCTGCATATATAAATAATTTTTAAAATTGTGGTATAGACAAATCTATCCATCTTTTCATTTTGGTT